GTGTGTGTTTGTGTTTTTGTGTGTTTGTGTGTTTGTGTGTTTGTGTGTTTGTGTGTTTGTGTGTTTGTGTGTTTGTGTGTTTGTGTGTTTGTGTGTTTGTGTGTTTGTGTGTTTGTGTGTTTGTGTGTTTGTGTGTTTGTGTGTTTGTGTGTTTGTGTGTTTGTGTGTTTGTGTGTTTGTGTGTTTGTGTGTTTGTGTGTTTGTGTGTTTGTGTGTTTGTGTGTTTGTGTGTGTGTGTGCGTGTGTGTGTGTGTGTGTGCTATGTTTGTCTAGCGTGTGATGTGTTGGGCGTGATTTGTGTCCCTGTGTGCATGTAGTTCTGAAGCCCCAGGAGGCCCCAGGAAGCCCCAGGCGGCCTCAGGAGGCCCCAGGAGACCCCAGGAGGCTTCAGGAGGCCCCAAGAGGCTCCAGGAGGCCGCAGGAGGCCCCAGGAGGCCCCAGGAGGTTTCAGGAGACCCCCAGGAGGCTCCGAGGCGGGGTCTGGGGTGCCAGAAGGTTCAGAAAGCCCCAGGAGGCCCCAGGAGGTTCCAGGAGGCCCCCAGGAGGCTCCGAGGCGGGGTCTGGGGCTCCATTTTGTAATGATTTGTTTTAAAGCGAAACCGCCATTCCCTGAGAATCGGGGTCACAATTATTGAAATTACCATATGTGTTTGAAGGGTTTATGTTAAAATGTTGAAATTCCCATGTGTTTTTGGGACCCTGACGTCACGATATGCGTGAGGGGTGCCACCGATTTTCGCATTAATCGCCTCTGAGCCCTACTCCCTCGGAGAGGTGCGTATGAGAATACAACTATATCTGCATATATATATATATATATATATATATATATATATATATGCGGGACCCTTGCGGGACCCTTGCAGGACCCTCCCTATTTATTGTGTTTTCAAAGAGTATCAAAGAGTTTAATTATCGGGCCCTCCTGCGGGACTCTTGCGGGACCCTTGCGGGACCCTGTGTTGCATTCATTGCAAATAATTACTTGAGATATATGCTGCGGGACCCTCCCTATTTATTGTTTTTTAAAATGCATCAGGGAATTTAATTATCGGGCCCTCCTGCGGGACCCTTGCGGGACCCTCTGGGTACGCGGCGCAGCCCTGGCCCTCGCGAGCCCGCGGGCCCAGGAGGCTAGTTGCAGCCTCCATGCAAAATTCTCTAGCTTGGGGTCCTATTGGGCCGTCTGGGGGTCCTCGTGAGGGACTCTTGGGCCGTCCTGGGACATCTTAGAAGCCTCTTGGGCCGCTTCGGGCCCCATGGGGGCCCCCCGAGGGGTTTTGGGGGGGTCCCAGGGCTCCCGAGACTGCCCCGGCCCGCTCCCAAACGGGCCACGACAGGCCAAGAGGGCCCAGCGAAACTGTCGCCACGTTCGTGGGCTCCTGGGAGGCCCAACTAAGTGGTCTCATACGCAGACAAAAAGAATGAGGCCTCGCCGTCCCTGGGGGCCGCGAACTGCGAAAATGTCGCTACTTTCGTGGACTCTGGGGAAACCCAGCGGAGTGACTTCATACGCGAATTCGAATGAAGCCTGGCCGTCCCTGAGGGCCGTGAACTGCGAAACTGTCGCCACGCTCGTGGGCCCTGGGGAGTCCAGCGGGGTGGCGTGATACGCGAACCAGAATAATGAGGCCTCGCCGGCCCTGGGGGGCTGCGAAGTGCAAAACTGTGGCCACCTTCGTGGGCTGCTGGCGGGTCCAGCGCAGTGACATGATCCGCAGATCAGAATGAGGCGTCGCCGTCCCTGAGGGCTGCGAACAGCGAAACTGTTGCCACGTCCGGGGGCTCTTGGGAGGCCCAGCGGAGTGGTGTCATATGCAAGCCAGATAGAAACGTCCCCGCCCCCGGTGGCTGCGAACTGCAAAACTGTCGCTGGTTTCGGTGGTTCCTCGGAGGCCCAGCAAAATGGTGCCACACGCAGATCAGAATGAGGCCTCGCCGTCCCTGGGGGCCGCGAGCTGCGAAACCGTCGCCATTTTCGTGGGCCCCCGGTGGGTCCAGCGGAGTGGTGCCATTCGCATATCGTCATGAGGCCTTGCCAGCTGTCGCCACGTTCGTGGGCTCCTGGAAACCCAGCGGAATGATGCCACGCCCAAATCAGAATGAGGTCTCGCCGTCCCTGAAGGGGCCGCGAACGGCGAAACTGTCGACACGTTCGTGTGCCTCTGGGAGGTCCAGCGGAGTGACGTCATACGCAAATCAAAATGAGTCCTCGCTGTCCCTGGGGACTGCGAAATGCGAATCTGTCGCCATTCTCGTGAGCTTCTGAGTGGCCCAGCGGCGTGACGTCCGACGCGGATTACACTGAGGCCTCGCTGGGACTGGGGCCTGCAGCTGCGAAACTGTCGCCGCTTTCAGGGGCTCCTGGGAGGTCCAGCGGAGTGGTGCCACACGCAGATCAAAACGAGACCTCGCCATCCCTGCGGGCTGTGAACTGCGAAGCTGACGTCACGTGTGGGAGCTCCTGGGAGGTCCAGCGGAGTGACGTCACCCGCATATCATAATGAGACCTTGACGTCTCGGGGGGCTGCGAAATGCGAAACTGTCGCCGTTCTCTTTGGCTTCTGGGTGGCCCAGCGGCGTGACGTCCTACGCGGATCAAAATGAGACCTCGCCGCCCCTGAGGCTTGCGAGCCACGATACTGCAGGTGCTTTCGTGGGCTTCTGGCGGGCCCAGCGGCGTGACGATCTCCGCGGATCAGAATGAGACCTCGCCGTCCCTGGGGGCTGCGAACAGCGGAACTGTCGTCACCTTCGTGGGCTCCTGGGGGCCCAGCGGCGTGACGTCCTACGCGAATCAGAATGAGGCCTGGCCGCCATTGGGGGCTGCGAGCTGCGAGCTGCGAAACTGTTCCCGATTCCATTGGCTCCTGCGACATATCATAATGAGACCTCGCTGTCCGTGGGGCTGTGAGCCGCGAGACGGTCGCCACTTTCGGTGGTTGCTGGCGGATCCAGCGGGGTGGCGTGATACGCGAACCAGAATGAGACCTCGCCGGCCCTGGGGGCTGCGATGTGCAAAACTGTCGCCACTTTCGTGGGCTGCTGGCGGGCCCAGCGCAGTGACATGATCCGCAGATCAGAAAAAGGCGTCGCCGTCACTGGGGGCTGCGAACAGCGAAACTGTTGTCACGTCCGGGGGCTCCTGGGAGGCCCAGCGGAGTGGTGTCATACGCAAATCAGAATGAGACGTCGCCGTCCCTGGGGGCTACGAACTGACAAAGTGTCGCTACGTTCGTGGCCCCCTCGCCATCGCTCCTTTGAGATCGTGGTCGCGTTCTTGCCGAAGATATGAGTCGCACGAGTCATGGGGAACGTTTGTCTGCGGCCCCACGTTTTTTGACGAAGCGTTCAAGGATACTGCGAATCCTTCAAGGCGTAAGTTTGAAATGAGCGGTCCTCGGTATAGCCGCCTCATGTGTACAACGGGTTGGGTGCGTCCCCTGGTCAATTACTTTTGGAGGGTCTTATGGGACCCCCAGGGAAGCGATCCTCGGGCGTTTCTGGGACCTGTTGGGCCTTGATGGGGGCACCTTGAGCTCGAAGACAGCCCCAGAGCGCGTCAGGAAGGCCAGTATTCGCCTCTCCTCTCTGGAAGCTTCGGGATCGCCAGGAGTGCCTCAGAGCGCCTGGGGAAGGGGCTCTTGGGAGCTTTGTGGGGCTTAGTGAGGGCCTCTTGGGAGCCGCTTCGGGCATCTTGTCGCCTCCTGGGGACCTCTTGGGGCGGAGAGCTTGAAATGTCCGTTCGGGTACCCCCTCTGGGCTCCTTCTTGGGGCCGTCCTGGGGCCCTTCTGGGCCGTCTTGGAGGCCTCTTGGGCCGTCTTGGGGCTCTCTGGGGCCATCTTGGGGCCGTCTCGGGGGCCCATTGAGCCGTCTTGGGGCGGTGGTGGGGGCCTCTTGGGCCGTCTTGGAGCGTCGGGCAGCCGAAATGGTGAGAACCCAGAGAAACTCCCAACCCCACGGAAAAATCTATGTATTTTGCATCTTGGGGCCCTCTTGGGGAGCCTCTTGGAAGCCTCCTGGGGCGTCTTGGAAGCCGCTTGGGCTGTCTTGGGGTCATTTTTTTTTTGTTGTTGCGTCCAATCCTGAAAAAGTCGCCGCGGTCTGGATACGTTGCAGCAGCCAAACAATGTTCATGCCGGCGTCAATCCAAAAGGAGCGCTGCTGAACTGAAAACTATCGTCGAGCCCCTGCGCGGCGCGAGCCTTCCGCCGGGGAAGCCGAGCGAGAGCTGGACGGATGTTGGCGCCCCTGGGTGGCCGCGCAGATCACCGCTGTTTCACCTGGGGCCCACCCATGGTGGTGTCGATGCGCTTGTCCATGAGGTCCCAGTTCACCTTCTCGAACATGGTGTCAACCTCAGAGCGCTTGGCGACTAGAAGCGGGCGCTTGCCGTACGGCACGGAGGTGTACAACTGCACCGCCAAGCCACCCGGGCTCATGTCTGCGGCCAACCAGACCCAGCCCTTTCCGTCGTCAACCACCTTCTGCGTCTCATCATTCCCCGGGCCGCCCTTGACGACGTGCTTGCCCAACTTCATCTGCTCCTTGAGGCCCGCAATGCCGACGGCGATGTCCCTCTTGCCGATTCCCCCAGGTGGCGGGCCCTTCCACTGGCCGCTGTAGCGGGTGAACGTGCCCTTGTCGTCCCACACCCCGTGGAAGTGCTTGACGATGAGCTCCGCGGTGATCGTGCCCTTCGCGGGGTCTCCGCCGGAACCGGAGATCGTCTCCTCATAGAATGCCTGGATGTCGGCGTCGCTGACGTCGTACTCGCCGCCGCCGCGCGCGGCGAGGGCCACCTGCCCCCGCGGGCCGGCCACGGCGGCGGCCTGGCGCGCCGCGGGCGCGGGCGCCACGAAGGCGCCCGGCAGGGCGCGGAGCCCCAGCGCGAGGGCCAGGGCGGCGGGCAGGGCGGTGCCGCGGAGGGGAGCCATGGCGCCCAGGGCGGCGGGGAGGGCGGCCGTCGAGCGGCGGCGGGCCGGGGGGGCGGAGGGATAGGGAGGAGGCCTTGAGCCAAAATGGCTACGGAGGCTGTCTTGGGGTCATCTTGGGCGTCTTGGACCGATGTTTGGGCGTCTCGGGGGTCTCTTGGACTTACTTGGGGGCGTTCTGGGGCCGTCTCGAAGCCGTCTAGGTCCGTTTTGGGGCAGTCAGGAAGGCGCTGGGGCCCCTGGTCCTCCCATGCGCCGCCGTGGTCCTTGGGCGCGGCCAGGGGGCCTCGTTATGTATGTATGTGTGTGTAAGGATGTATGTATGCATGCATGCATGCATGCATGTATGTATGTATGCATGTATGTGTGTATTCATACATGTATACAATGCACACCTATATGTGTGAATACATTACACGCTATATGATTATTTCTACTACTGCTACGACTACCCGAATTAACAGTATCAAAACAATTGATTCACAACGCTACTAAATGCCAAGATCAGTTCATAAATATGACCTACATAACCCACAACAGTTAGGAAACAATCAAATATTTTATGACAATTATCACATATCCACCATTTATGCGCAATATTCCCTGCCATCTATTTGTATTGTTTGCTTTTCTTGCTTTTCTTGTTTTTGAATTGTTTGCTTTTCTTGCTCGCGGAAGGCCTGATGAACGAAGGGAACCAGCCAAGTCTCGGGCGCCGCGGCCTTCTGAGAGCATCGAAGAAAGCTCTGAGAGCGTGCACGAACGCTCTGGAACGGATCTATCCTCGTCCTAGCCCCGTCCGGTTTCCCCCGTGGCGAGCTCACGTACGGCAAGTTCCTGCTGTGACGACTCCATCGGCGGTTTCTGACACCGCGTGGATCGTGCAACCTTGGAACGACCGGCGGCTTTTCTATCGCCAGTCGGTTCCGTATTGGCCGATTCTGAGCCACTGGCGGCGTTCGAACTTGAACGCCCAAGCTGGGGTCGTCGCCACGTCGACACGACACGAACCTACCGTACAGTGCGGGCGCGGTTACAAAACAAGCCATAGCAAGAAACCCAACCCTGAAACCCCGCAGGCGAGGTACACTTGAGGGGAAACCCGTACGTAGCACCCCGAGCGCAGCAGCTTCTCAACGGATGCGGGAAGTCACCGCGCAGCGCGCGTATCGAAGAAACCAAAGGTACCCTGCCGACGCGTGCGCCGGCAGGCGCGAGCGGGGCTGCGCTCCAGGGACGCGTACACGAGGTTGCAGCTGTCCCGCACGGCCTGCGGCTCCCCGAGGAGCCGGCGGGAGGGCGGGGCGCAGCACGCCGAGGAGCGGGAGCGCAGCGGGACGCCGACGAGCTCCCCGGAGGATGGCTGAAACGAGGCCTCCTCGTCCCACCTCCTCCTCCCACCTCCTGCTCCTCCTCTCGCTTGAACAAAGAGCTTCACGGGTTGAGGGCGGGTGGTTTTCAAATCGTGGCTCTCGCCTTAGCGCCGAATGTACTCGTTTTGGAACATTGCAAGATATTCAAGGATTGGGAGCGGTTCCTTTTCAAAAGGTGGCTTTCGCCCTCGCGCCGCGCACATTCTTCTTAAACAAATGCCAGAGTTTCACGGATTCCTATGATCAGTTGCAAGAGCTTCACGTACCAGAGATACCGTTTTGGAAAGATTCAGGATTATGGGGGTGTAACAGTTTCGTTGATTCGCGGTGTTGAAAACCCAGGACTAGCATTCTGGCACGATCAGGACCGCCAAAACGCAACAGTCAGGCTGATCCGTGGAGTTGGAATCCCGAGAACACTGTGTTGGCATGCTTCAGGGTCTTCAAACGGTTGCCTTCCAACGAGGCAGTTCCCTCAGTGGAAATGAACCGTTGTAGGGACCTATGAAGACGGAGCTTGGAGGGAGGGTTGATTTCAACATCGCTGATGACTCTTGGGTTTGCACTTGCTCCTCCTCCTCCTCGTCCTCCCACCTCCTCCTCCCACCTCCTCCTCCTCCTCCTCCTCCTCCTGCTCATCCCCGTCCCCCCCCTTGAGAGGAGGCGAGGACGAGGACAAGTTTGGGTGAGGATACATCGAGCATCTCTGAGATCTGGCGGCTCTGGAGGATGTCTCGGGCACCGCGGCTTTGTGGGAGCGTCCCGGAAGGCTCTGAGAGCGTTCCGGAGAGCGGATCGATCCTCGTCCAAGCCGCGTCCGAGACGGCCCTATACAGTCAACCCGTATGATGCGGTGTGCAGGGCGGGCGAGGCGGGACACCAAGAGATCACCCCGACTGTGGGGGCCCCGCGGCCGCGGTGCGCAGGGCGGGCGAGGCGGGCCAGGAAATCTTTCTGTCAAGACCTCACAACCCCAATAATTATGCCGGGTGAGGCGGGGAACTGGTACAGTCAACCCGCATAAGAAGGACCATGTCGACACCTTGCGAGCGGGGCGCGGCCAGCGAAAGCGGCCAAGGATCGACCGAAGGAGAAGGATGAAAGGGTACCCTTGGAAAGTCGCGCTCATCCTTCATGTGCGGGTTGACTGCATAGGCGAGCCTGGGGGGAAGTGAGAGAGGGCGGGCCTTCTCAAAAGGCTCGGAGTTACACGCCCTTCTGAGAAGTGTTCTAAGCCTTCTCCGAAAACGCAAAGGGCTTCTCAGCAGGCTTGGGAGCTACTGACAAGCCCCGCAGCCTTCTGAGAAGGCATCCCCCTTCTCACTTCCCCCCCTCGCTCGCCGCCGTCATATACAGGGAGGAAGAACGGCATGAACATAAACTTTCGACTGTCCGCGCGGATTTCTTGGATCTGCGCTCCCCCCCCCCTTCTCTCGCGCGCGGGCCGTGACACGGTCGGCGCCGGAAGTGCCGCCGAGGGGGCAGGGGCGCAGATCCAAGAAATCCGCGCGGACCGTCGAACATGTATGTTTACGCCGTTGCTTTCTTGACCGTAATTTTGCCATCGATCGGCCGTCCATTCCCAGTCCATTTCTCGGTTTCGTGATTATCTTCTCTTCGCCAGATGATCCAAAATGCTCCTGGATGGTCCCCGCCGAGAGAAAGTACACACGCCCGAACGGTGCCAAGTGATAGAGAAGATACAAGCTGCAGAAACATAACTTGTCGGAGGTCCGCGAGGATCTTCTGGCATTTTTGTGCGCGGAGCTCAGAACATGTACTTTTGCGTCGTTCTCTTCTTGTCAATGTGAAATCACGGTGTTGGCGCCAGAGCGCTGGAATCACGCTGGCACCACGGAGCACGAACGGCAGATGCGCGCGTGGACATGCAGAAACTTGCGGTGTGCACAAGGGGGTAGGGGGAGGGGGGAAGGCTTCTTAGAGGGAATACGATTCTTAGGACGCGCTGGCCCTACATCTTTAAACAAGGCCCGCGCCCTCTAAGCAGCAGCCTCCGTCTAAGAAGCCTTCCACCCTCCCCCTGCCCCCCTTCTGCGCGTGGCCGAAGGAGAAGGTTGGGTGGCAACTCATGGAAGCCTCCCGTACCAGTCGGTCGGCTCTTGCGAATCGACGCTAATCGACGCTAACAGACGCCAAGTCGGCGCTATCTCATCGACTCCCATACGCTAATCGACGATATATACGGAATCAAGAGGGTATACCAGGCTCCCATGATCTGCTACCGAACGAAGGAGACGGGGGAGACAGCTATGAGTCAGGAATGCAACCGCCGAGCGCGGTACAGCGTGATGGGGCAAGACCTGCGCTCCCGAAGTGGCTGGCCAGACGCCAACGAAGGGAGAGCGGTGGCGCGCACAATGTGGGTAGGGGTACACGTCGGTCGGGAAAAGTAGGAACAAGCATCAAGTAGGAAGGCGGACAGAGTAGATTGGGTCCATCCCCTCCCAAAGAAACCAAGACACATCAAAAGCGTATCGATTCCTCAAGTAGGAAGGCGTTTGAAGTATCCTGAGATCTGAGAACCCAACATACCTACTTTCAAAGACCGGCGTGTAGGGGGGATAGGCCTCTTAGAAGAAGACTGTCTCTTAGAAGGCGCCGCCCTACATCCATAGACAAAGCCCGCGCTTCCTTAGAAGAGGGGGTGCTTCAAAGAAGCCTGACTCTCCACCTATCCCTTTCTGCGCGCGGCTGGAAGAGAGGGAAAGGGGAAGGACTGAGGGAGGGATGGGGGAGGAAAGCGAGCGAAGGATGGAGAAGGAGAGATGCAGAGAGGGAGGCAGGGCGGCAACGAGGCGGGGGAGGAAGGAACGGAGGGATGGGCGAGGACCGAGGAGCCTCGGGGGAACAAGGGTGCAGCGAGAAGGCGACCAGAAGTACTATGGCGAGGGCTGGGCCTGGAGCGGGAGTAGGTGAAGGGGGAGGGCCGAGGAGGTCAGCGGAGATGATAGTGGGGAAACGGGAAAGGGAGACGAGTAAGGGAGGCGCGCCTGGCCCACATCCCAAATCTCGCCCCAGTCATCCGCCCTTTCCCATTGGCCTTGCGTCTGTCCTGTTATCCTAGTCGGCAACCAGATCAGCAGTGATCCCTCAATGGCAAGCAGGGTGCCTGGCCGACTCCCGAGCTACTGCGCAAGGGAACCCACACAGGTGGGGCCAGGCAACGCACAAAGAGGACGGTATTCGGCGGCCTCCGGCGGTTTCCGGGCATCATCCAGCAATCTTCTGCGGACAACGTGACATCTGTGCATGCCAAGTGGTCCGTTCCATGGTCGAACGCCTGAGCATCCCACCCCATCTGGCTCCCCCTTCGGGCCACATCCCCCCAGCCATCCGATTACGCGGGTTGTGCAACGGCAGTGGGAAATGACCGCCTCTGACCGACCGACACGCGTGCGTCATGAAGTACATCAGCGCGGGCAAAAGCCCATTACCATCCTGTCTTTTTGAATCGGCGGCGCGCCCACGGCAAAAGTGAAAAGAACCGGGCCCTTTGAAAAGGCGGCGGGGCTTTCCCATGAAGAAACCGACCGGCCTCCTGAGAAACACCCTGTAGCTTCGGGGAAAACTTACAATGTTTGTGAGAAGGCCCGTTGTTTTTCAAGCCGTCTGAAAAGGCCCGCCCCCTTTGCCTCCCCCACTGGGCGCGCCGCCGATTGACCGCATATGCAGAGCGGCATCAACGACTTGGCCTGGATGGTGGATCCCTTCTTGCCCAGGGTCCAGTTAAACTGCTCGGGGTCGATTACGAGGGACTGCGCGGGCGCCCCGCCCTTTGACGTGGTTTGATGGCCCGCTCGCGGCAAACGTTCCTCACCTGCAATGGACACGTGCTGAACATTAGCATAATTCGCGCCCGCTGTTCCACCTCAGTCTCCCACTCTCCCCCTCCTCCTTTTCCTCCTTTCCTTCCTGTCACGCCCTGCTACGTTCGCTCGTGCACTTCCCAAAATCCCGGGATCTCACCAAACAACCGAGCGTTCCCGAATCCAGCGTTCCCTTTTCGGGGGAGGGGGGATGTCCTTCCCCAGAGCGCACCCCCCTACCGCGGGGCCTCGAACCGGAGGTCTTCGAGGCGCCAGCGATTGGAACATCCGCAATGTCCCTCGATGGTTCCTTGAAGACATCAGATAAACAACAGTGCCGACAAGGTCGAAGACGACTGCCGAAGATTCTTCAAGGTGGTTTTCCGCATGTTTTCAAACATCCCCCAAACATGCTCCAAGATGGCCCGAGGTGGCCACAGACGCGAACAAAGGTTCGCAATCTCATTGCATGCAATGTAGAAGGATACGATGGCGATGGTGGCGATGGGACAGGGAAGATGCCTTTTGACTTAGATCGGGCGCGTCCAAGACTTCTCGCACCCCCAGGAATCCCCGAACAACTCAAACCGAATATCGCCGAGAAAGAAAATCTCAAACCAGATCTCAAACCAGATCTTGCCGCGAGAGAATCCCAAAACGGATCTCCGATGAGATCTTCCGAGACACTTTGGGGCCCAAGCAAAAACTCAAACGAAATCTTGTCACCGATAAATCCCGAACGAAATCTCAAACGACATCATGCCGCTGCCACATCCCAAACAACATCTTAAACGAAATCTCGCCTCTTGCCAATCCCCAACAAGATCTCAAACGAATTCTTGGGCGACCAGAAACTCAAACGCAATCTCACCCAGAAACTGCTGGCCAAGCTTCGTGCCGCGCACGGAGCGGTGGTAAAGCACAACTTCACGGTGGTCGAGTGCTTTGCCATCGGGGCAACGCTGATCGGACCTGCGCGCGCCTTTAGAAGAAGTGCGCATTGCGGCGCGGATGGGCACCCCCCGCCCCTCGATCGAGCGACTGCCTCGGCCACGATGCTGGGCAGCGAGCCCGGAGATCGGCGCCGCACCGCCCACCGACGGCCCTAGTTCACCAGGCGCACTGGCGCGCTTAGCGGCCACCGCGGGCACAGGCCTGCAGGTCACTACGTTGCGGGGCTCGCAACCACCATTCCCTGGGCGAACCGAATGCGGGCACCATTTCCGGCGCGCGCGTGCGAGAATCGCCTGCGCCCGCGCATGACCCAATCGGATTGGGTTCGGCGGCATTTCGGGCGGAGGCGTCTCGGGGCGGGGGAGAACAGCCCAATGCTCATAAGCATGCGCATTACTTTTGGAACCGACCCTCGTAGGTAACAGCCCTAGCGGACGTTAACAAAAATGTCCCCCCCCTGGCTCCGGAGCGGTCCGGTGGCGTTTTTGTCTTGGGGGTGGTTGCAATTGGGGCTGCGCGCGTGGTAACTTGCCATGGGCCCCTTCTTCGCCCTCCTGTTTAGCATCCTCCTCTCCTCATACTGCTTACTCCACTCCTCCACGACCTCTGGCTTCTCCTCGGTGACATCCGCGGGTGCCTCAACGCTGAAAGCTCCCGGTAAAGACTGCCCGAGTCCCTGAGGTTGTTCTCCTGCTGCTGCCCCAGCGGCCGCTGCTGCCCCCCCCCGTGCCGGTGGCAACCCCATTAGCCCCTCCGGGGCAGTTCAGGGCGACGCGCCCCTTACCGCCGCACTTAAAGCATGATCGCTCGCTGTGGGGCACAAACCCTTGGCCTCATTTACCTCCTCCTTTAGCTCCTCCGTTACCTCCTCCTGTATACCATCCTTGGTAACCTCCATTGCCGCCCTTGCCTCCTCCTGCATTTCCCTGCTAACTTTTCTGGCTTCTGCGTCCTCCTTTGCCGCCCTGGCCGCCCGGGTAACCTTTGTAGTTGCTGTTGTAGTTGTACGGGTAACCTCCGCACTAGAATCCTTTACCGGCATTGCCTCCTCCGTTGGCCCCTTCCTGACACTGACCTTCGGCAACTCCTCTGCTCGGACAGTCGCGGCCGATGCGGCCTCGAACTCGCGGGAGGTCCGGCGTAAAGGCGCTGCACGGGGGCCGCCGCGAGGCCTCGCCGCCCGCGGCGGGCTGCGACCTGCTAAACTGGAGCCTCTTTCGCGCGCTCGGGGGGTCGAGCGGAGGGCGCCCCCGGGGCGCCGCCATGGCGCATCGCCGCCCCTGGCGGGCAGCGGCTTGGAAACAGTCGCCAATGCCGCGGGCCCCTGGGAAGCCCAGCGGGGGGTGCCCCGCGCGCGCCAGCGTAGACCTCGCCATCCTTGGGGCGCCGCTATCTGCGACAACGCCGCCACTTACGCGGGCCCCGGAAAAACTCCAACGAAGTGGCCCCCTTCGGTGACCACCATCAGACGGCGCCGCCCCCTGGGGGGCCAAAAAAATGGGGGCGCGGAAGGGCGCGCGGCCACGGGGCCCGCGGGCGGACGGCGGCGCGAGCACCGCGGCCGCCGCGCCTGGGCGCCCAGGCAACCCCAATAAGCAAGAAGCACTAGCGGCGCTTTCGGCCTGTTGAACCCCCATGGAAGCGCGAGCTGGGCAGCGGCGCCCGCCTCTCGGGCAGCGCGTCTAAATCGAGGCATTCGAGGCCGCGCCCGTCTTTCCCGCCCGCGGCCCGCGGCGCGACGGCCGCGCCGGGCCGCAAAAATTGCGGGCGGGGCCGCGGCGGCAGGGAGCTCCGCGGGCGCAGCGCGCGCGGGCGCGCGCGCCTACTGCAACTGGCGGGCGCGCGCGCGCGCACGAGCTGCGCGCGGCCATGGCGCGCGGAAGGGCACCTCGCCAGGCCCGCGCCCCACCGCGCGCTGCGACGCATTGGGCGGCCCCCCCGCCTTTGCGCGCCGCGCCGCGGCGCGCGATGATGCAGGCATCTATCGCGGAGGCATGGCGGCCGCGCGAAAACTTCTCAGCGATCTCGGGGGGCCGCGGCGGGCGCCCCTGCGCCGCGCCCCCCGCCGCCCCAGTCCGGACGACCCAAACGTTCAAAGACATTGCGGGCCGCGCTACCCGTGGAGCGCGCCGCCCGCGGAGCGCGCCGCCCGCGGAATGCGCCCGCCAGGCTGGCGAGGGCAAGGGCGCAGACCAGGGGGCGTCGCCGAAGCCGGCGCGAAACGTCATCGCGACGCTTTCGCGCGCGCGTCTGGGCGGGCGCCCGATCGCCCGCCTGGAATGCCTGGGGCCCCCCCGGGCATTCCCTGGAGAACCGTCGCCGCATCCGATCCCGGTCGGACATTCCCCAACTAGGCAACCGCAGGTAATGTCACGGGACATCGCGCCCCTCGGAAACACAGGGATCTCCAGGGGATCTCCCGGGAAATCTCCCGGACAATCTTGCCCCTCGGCAGTCTCCGTGGAAATCTCCCGGGAAATCTTGCCCCTCGGAAATATCCGAATGAATCTCCCGGGCAATCTTGCCCCCTCGGAACTCCCCCTGCAAATGCACTCGGGAATTCATTGTTTTCGATTTTTTGCTTCCAAGCAAAAGATGCGCCCCTCGCAGAAATTTCCGACAATTCCCCGGGAAATCCCCCTCTCACGCGCATCACCTAAACATTCCGAGCACATCCCGTATGCCCGAAAAACAATCCCAACAACCCCAAGAAAATCCCCCGGGAAATCTACCAGAAAATCGTGCCCCTCGGAAATATCCGTGGAAATATCCCGGGAAATCTCGCCCCTCGGAAATATCCGTCGAACTCTCCCGGAAAATCGCGCCCCTCGGGCACCCCCATGGAAATGGGAGACACACCCAGGAAATCCCCCGGATAATCTCCCGGGAAATCTTGCCCCTCTGAAATCTCCGTGGAAATATCCCGGGAAATCTTGCCCCTCGGAAGTCTCCGTGAAAATCACCCGGAAAATCTTGCACATCGGGAATCCCATTGGAAATGTGGCAGGAAATACCCCGTCGTCTCCCATTGGAAATCTCCATGGAAAATCCCCGGGGAAAGCCACCCGAAAATCGCACCCCTTCGGATGCCTCCACGGGCAGCCTCCGGGGGCAATTCCGACCTTGATGCGGAAATCTCCAAGGGACCCCCCCCCGGACCCCCGCGAGCCCCCCCTAACAAAAACTGGATCTGGCGAACTTTATCCAATGAGTCGGGCCCTGCGAAAGACGCCCCCTGGTTAAGTTGAAAACCCAATGGCCAAAACCCAATTAAAAAATCACTGTGTGAGCCCAAGAGGCGGCCATATAAACATGGAATGTATAGGAAACCAATATAAGATGCGAGGCGCGCGCGCGCGCCGGTGGCCCTCGCGGGGCCGGGTCGCCCGCGCGCGCGCGAGTGCGCACGCGATGCATCTTGTTGGTTTTATACAATTGGAGGCCATGTCAAGTTGAAAACCCAAGGGTCAACATCCAATGTCGAATTTCATTCTCTGGGCCCAAAGAGGCGGCCATAAAAATGAAATACACAAAAAAATGCAATATGCGAGGCGCGCGCGCGCTGGTGGCCCGCGCGGCGGCAGGTCACCCGCTTGCGCGCGCGAGATCCATCCTGTATTGCTTGTATACGATCGGAGGCCATGTTAAGTTGAAAACCCAATAGTCAAAACCCAATGTAACATTTCATTCTCTGGGCCCAAGACGCGGCCAAATATAAATGTGGAGCTTACCAAAACAATGCAATATGCGAGGCGCGCGCGCGCTGGTGACCCGCGCGGCGCCGGGTCACCCGCTCGCGCGCGCGCACGCGCGCGCGCTGCATCCTGCTTTGTTTTTGATATATAATCGGAGGCCATGTTAAGTTGAAAACCCAATGGTCAAAACCCAATGTAAGATTTCAGTATCTGGGCCCAAGAAGCTGCCATATAAACGTGGAATAAACAAAAAACAATGCAATATGCGAGGCGCGCGCGCGCTGGTGACCCGCGCGGTGCCGGGCCACCCGCTTGCGCGCGCGTGCGCGCACGCGCGCGCGCACGCGATGCATCCTGTATTGGTGCTATACAACCGGAGGCCATGTTAAGCTGAAAACCCAACGGTCCAAACTCATTGTAAAATGTCATTATCTGGGCCCAAGAGGCGGCGATATAAATGTGGAATATACAAAACCAATACAATGCCCTGCTCCGTGTCGCGGGGTGTCACGGGAAGGGTGGGTCGGGCAGAATTCCTCAGAGACTGCGCGTCCTGGCGACGCCATGCTCGTGGCCCCATAGGGAGCTCCACCGAAAGGCCCCAATGGGAATGCCCGCGCGCGGTTCCCCCACCCAGGGCAGCGCTTCGTAGCCCCAAAGGGGGCCCCACCGAAGGCCCCAGCGGGGGTGCCCGCATGCGGTTCCCCCACCCAGGGCAGCGCGTCGCAGCCCCATGGGGGGCCCCACCGAAGGCCCCGGCGGCGTGCGTTTCCCCCACTCAGGGCAGCGCTTCGTAGCCCCATAGGGAGCTCCACCGAAGGCCCCAGTGGGGGTGCCCGCATGCGGTTCCCCCACCCAGGGCAGCGCTTCGCAGCCCCATAGGGAGCTCCACCGAAGGCCCCAGCGGGGGCGTTCGCATGCGTCTCCCCTACCCAGAGGTAGCGCCACCGAAAACGATATTCATATATGCGGTATTCACAACTGCATATGGTTGCGTCCTCCGCCAGGCTAATTACGAAGACCACCGCGAACCGTGGCACGAACATGTGTAGAGCCTAGAATAAAAGAGCCACCAACGCCAAAATGTGCTTAGAAATGGCGTTGCGAAATCTATTGCGCGGGCCCGGGCAATCATAATCATCGGCTGAATCCACTGCGCGGGCCCCGACAGTCATAATCGTAACGCTTTAAAGGCAATATTCAAATATTCGACCCTGGTCTGACATACCCCATGTTCACCTGTTCTCGCCAATTCCAAGACCCAATACGTCCTTCGCAATTCAGATACATCCCAATCCGCATCATCGGGTTTGACACGGGTTCTTTCTGCGGAGTCCTTTTGTGGAGGACAACAATAGGACTCCAGTTGCGGAGGCGTGCATTACTTTTTTTGGTGGCAACTTACAATCGGATTGCTTTAGTGGCGGGTTTCAAAAGGACGCCTTATGCGTCTGGTTTCAATGGGATTCCTTGCGCGGAGGATTAGAATAGGATTCCGTTTATGGACGATGTCAATGGGATTCTTTCTGTGGAGGACTATAGTATGATGCCTTCCGTGGCGGATGTCAGCAGGATTCCCTTCGTGGAAGATTACAACGGGATTCTTTGATGTTGGATGCTGGGATTCCTTGTGCGAAGGGTTGCACTAGGGTTCCTGTTGTGGGGGATTACACTAGATTTTCTTTTGTGGCGGATTTCAAAAGGATTCAGTTTGCGGAGGCTGACATTCGGATTCCTTGTGTAGAGGGTTTCAATGGGATTCCCTGAGGATTTTACAACAGGATCCCTCTTGTGGGCGATTCCAATGGGGTTCCGTTTATAGAGGATGACAATCGGATTCCGTTTGTGGAGGGTTACAACAGGATTCCATCTGTCCAGGATTAAAATTTGATTCCTTGCGTGGAAGACTAGAGTGGGATTCCGTTTGTGGACATTCTCGCGTGGGCGGGATGTCCCGGTGATTTCGCCAGAGATTTCGACCTGCAAAGGGCTTCCCGGAGATTTCGTCGGAGATGTGGCCAGGATCCCTACCCTCGGGAAGGTTGTCTGGAGATTTCGTCGGACATGTCGCCGATGATTTCCGCTGCCGGAGATCCGATGGGCCCCCGCCACTGCTGCCGGAGACTCTGGGGGGGAATTCTGGGAGAGTTCTATGGGGTTCCTGGGAGGCGAGAGGTCTCAACGCACCCGATCTAACTTTTTACTGCCCGCCGCCGCGCATCGCGCCGCGCAGGCTGGGCGACGCAGGCAGAGTGGATTGCGCCGCCTTGAGTCGATGCGGCGGCGGGCAAAGCAAGCTGTGGATTCGCTCCTCCATCGGTTCATTCTTTCAATCTCGATGGGGGGGGGGGGGGGCGAAACTTGCCCGCCGCCGCATTGGCGCATCATTCACGGGGGCGCCGCGCAGTGCAAAGCGTTCAGCGGCCAGAAACTCCCGCCGCTGAAGCAGCGAATAGCAAAGCGAAGCTGGTAGCTGAAGATTCCCACCGCTGACGCTGCGCCAGCGGCGGGGATATTCAGCTACGTCAGCCACGCAACGCATGGAAAAAATGGTCGGACATGGAGCCGCGCATCCGCGAGTCCAACATTTCAGCGCCAGAGCGCGTTGGGCAGAGGCGAGCCGAATGGCGCCATTCGAGCAGGACGGACCATAAACGGTCTTGAAAACCCAAAAGATGACCGATGGGGGTTCGCCCCAAATCGACGCGGCCAATATTGGGTGGGGTCGCGATTCCGCGGCGACGAGGCGTGAGTTCAGCCGCGGAAGCGCGCCGCCAGCGAGCGGCCGCGGGCCCGCGAAAGCTCGGCGCGGGGCCGGCAGGGGCCCCCCGCCACTCGGCGCAAGTGGACAGCCACGACGGCGCGCGGGCAGCCGCGACGGCCATTAATCGGCGAGCGGAATTGCCTCGACGCGGGAGAAGAGCAAAGAGCGAGGCTAAGCCCGACCCCAATAGGGGCGCCCCCCCGCGCGTTGCGAGGGAGGATTCGCCAGGTCGCGCTGCGTTGCTGGCGCCTCCAGCGGCGTCTCCCAGGGCGTCTCATGGGCCATTGTTGGAGATCGGGGGCGGGAGTGCACAACCCTTCCGGGGCGCGTCGACGGCGGGGGCGGCCGGGCACTCGGGTCTTTCCCATGTTCCGCGCCCAGAGAAGGCAGGCGACTGCGCCCCTGGCCCCGGCGAATCGCATCGAGTGCCATCCGCGCGGCGCCGTCGCGCGGCGCGCCTCCCGGGCCCCCAGCGCGCGCGAGCTAGTCGAATTAATCGCTTGGCTTTGCCTCGGGGCCCGGGGCGGCCAAGGAGAGGGGGCGGTAGTGGGTGCCAAACGCGGTGCTCGATTGAACCAAAAGGTGAGCTGCGCCAGCGTTGGTTAATTGGCTCCCTCTGTGGCTGCCCCGTGTCTGGGCCGTTTGGAACTGTCGCGCCGCTCCTCGTTTTTGGTTTGCGTTGTTCTGTGTCGCGCGTTTGCTGCGCCTGCAGCTGCAGGCAGCGCCCCCTCGGCGCCCGCCGCGCGCCGATGCAGGCCCCGTGCCTAGCATTGAGGGTGGCCCAGGCATGGCTCGCCCTGCCCTCAGGGCGAAGTCCAGAGCCAATTGCCGGTCTGTCCCGTGCACTTCATCTCTATCGCAAAAAAATATATTGACAGATCCAGACCCGGCACATTGGCGAGTAGGTGCGAGTCACGCAGAACTTGCGTTCCATAAATCGCTCGATGCCTCCTCGTTGCAAAAGCACGCGCGCAACGCATCTCCTGGGGTTCTGTTATGCTGGGTCTATGGCACGCATGCGGGGTGTTCCACTGCGTCGACGCCCAGGCCTATCAGGCAGCTGTTCGCCATGCACGGCGGGCGCCCGCCTGCCTGAATAGCGCTTCGCGGACGTCGCGCTGGTTGCCAGACGCCAGGAAGGCGCGGATGCCGGCGTCCTCGCGCTCGCCGACGACCTCGCAATGAATTTCACGCGCGCGCTCGGCATCCACTGCCAAGGATTGCGATGACATTGCCTCGGCGCCGCCTGACTCGCGACGCTGGGATCGCGCTCCCACGAGGCAGGTCACTGATGGAAAGCCGCTGGCGGTAGTGGTACTGCTCCATCAATGGATCGAAGATCACGTAGAAGACCTGGCCCTGTTGGGCGCGCCCCTGTTAGGCACGCCCTGGCACGCGCGCGCGGCGACGGGGCCGCCTCGCGGGCGACAGGGAGGCAGGGGGGGGAAAGGTGGGGAAGGGGGGCAGGGGGCGGTCAATATGCGATGGCTCTTGGTTGTTTGGAGGTTCCTTCAACGTTCTGATTCGTCGCGCGCATCTGCCCATCCATTCATCGACCTATCGACCGAGATAACAATTCAGGACATATATACAAATGACGATGTTCTTTCTACAGGCACCATGCGCGAAGCGAAGCATCGATGCGCGCGCGAAAAGAACTCGCGAGGCGCGACGAGAGCAAAACACGCTCAAGGGGGCGCCCACGCCACCGGAGAGCTTGCACCCAAGGAGGAGGAGGGGAGGAGGGAGGAGCCAGAGAAAAACTTGGGCCATCACGAGTATGAACGGGTCGACTCGAATCGGGGGCTCAACGGCGATCCATTCGCTCTGTCACACCAGGATAAGTCCTAAAATGACGATGCTCTTTCTACCAGCCCTATGTGTGAAGCCCAGCATTGATGCGCCTGCGAACGGAACTCGTGAGGCGCGACGACAGCAGAACGCGCTCAAGGGGGCACCCACGCCACCAGAGAGCTTACACCACAGTCCATGGTTTGTTCTGGCGCAGCCGCCAAGAAGATGCGAGACGGGCCACTGGCGAATATAATTGTTCAGGGTGTCATCGGGCGCGACGGGTCCAAAAAACCCGCTGTCATCTTGGCCGGGCAAGGGGAAGTGGGGGCGGCCTGTGACGCCACACGCTCCACGAGAACCATTTACACGTGGCTTCGAGGGGGGCGGCATCCGAAAAGCTGTACAGAGGGGTCGTGGCTTCTTCACTTCGCACCGTATTTACAATAGCCAACTTCAACCCTGGAAAAAAATCTGGAGGCGGCGGGCGCCTGCTAGATGCCAAAGAATACCCGCGCGCGGATTCCCTAACACCGCACGGACTCTGCGTCGGCGACAACATCGGAGAAGGCGAATGACAAAGCTTGCGAGCGCATTCGACTCGGCAACTGACTGGGAATCCTTGGGGAAGAGACCAAGCAGGCCCAAGGGACATAGCGTGGATCTGACGGGGCCTGGACCGGCGCCTCCCGCACGCGCGCGGCTGTAGATATGGCGCGGCAGACCAACCCAGACGAATCGGATTTGTCCAGATATAACCAACTCGAGGATGTGATTTTGCACGCCCGACTTAGAGACACCAGAGCCAGGCCCATTCAAGATCTCGAACAAGGTGGGCAGCCTGCGCGAGGCCAGAGCATTGCCGACGCCTGCCGCACCAGCGAATACCTCTGTGGCGGCAGGCTTCTCTTGCGCAGGGGCAGCGACGCGCCGGGGGCACTCCTCGAGCTTTGCGCAAGCTAGTTGCGCGACACCGAGGAGGTGGACAGACGCGGTCTGCTTTTTCTTCTGCCACGAAAGATGACCCTCGCGGCGTCTCAGCGTCGAGCCTGGTGCGTCGCCGGCTTGGAGGCGCCGAGCCCGACGACGACGCGCGTCTGGTCGAAGTGCATCTGGCAGAGACGCATGTCGATGGGGAACCCCATCTCGCCGGCGGAACCCCGACCCATGGGCGCCGTCACCAGGCGAGCGGTGTCGATGTCTACGTTGTCCACGATGTACTACAAGGTGGGTTATACTGCTCTGTTCGGGTCGGACGCGCGCCTCCATGGAGGGCATGTAGCACTGGCATGTCCCTGGGCGCCCCAACAGAGACCGCTTCTCAGGAGGCCAGGGGGCCGCCCAAGAAGCCCCGCCGCCTCCCGGGCCCGCCCTCTCGCGCCCACCCCGCCGACGATCGCCCGCGATGTCCGCGTCGAGGGAGGGCGCCAGCACGGTTGCCGCCTGCGCGTTGCCCCGCCAGCGCATGGCCGCCGCCAGTGCTGCGCACCCCTGCCAGGGAAGGGAACGGCGGCTGACCGTCGGCGCCGCCCCGCGGAAGCCTCTCAAGGCCCGGCGGGGGCGAGGGGAGCACCCTTGGCCGAGGCGCGCCACGTCCCGGCTGCAGAACAGCACGGCCGCGAGCAACGCGCTCTCGACCTCGCAGCGGCCCCTCCAGGAACCGAAAGACGACGCAGCCCACTGCGGCCAGGATCACGCCGGTGGAGGTCGTCGCGGCCAGGCACTCCTGCTTGGCAAACGCCATGAACGAAACGAAAATCACCCTGCGTCGCTCCCGCGCGGCCTTGCCCACGGACCGACTCTACAGCAAGCTCTGAACCCCGCCTCGAGCTCTCGGAGCACAGGCGGCCCACCAAGCTCGCAGCCTCTTGCCCCGACGCAGCCTCGGCGCCGGCCTTTCGGTCGGCGGCGTCGGCGCCGGGAGGCGCCTCTCGGATCCAGCGGCCGCGATCCACGTAAGTCCAGCGGCCCGCGTTCCCTCGGGCGGCCACCGGCCCGACGTCGGCGGCGCGGCGGCGCCCTCCCGCGACGGCTTGGACAGACAGGGGGCCTGCCTGTACGAAGGGATGATCCGCGCTCGGCTGAGAGGGCACGTCTCCGCCTCGCCGACTGGGAGCGGCGCCTACAGCGTCGCCATTCGGGCAGCTCGCGCCTGGCCCCCGCCTCCACCCCCGCTGCCCGAGAGGGCCTGCTTGCGGGCGGCCCGCGCTCGGACCTGGACGGACCGAACCTCGTCGGCGACGTCGGCAACGGTCATGAATCATGAAACGCCAAAGGCGCTTCACTGGCGCGATTTGAACCCTGAGGGGGTCCATCTCCAGCGCACGCGCACGCCTGCTGCAAGAGACGCTGCCGCGAACTGACGACAAATCTGGAGCAGCCAATTCTCAGCGGCGCGACCATCGGAAAAGGCGAGCACCGCAGCCATGCTATCTGAGAAGCCGAGCATACGACATCCGTGGGACCTAGCGGTTCTGACTCTCCTACGTACGGCGGCAAGGCAGCCCCGCGCCTCCACGATGTGAATCACTTCCCTACGCTCCCACGGGGCAGCAACAACCGATTTCCACCGCCCCCTAAACAGCACCCGCTGAGAGACGTCGGGGAAGACCTCCTGAGCACCCCACATCCACCGGGCAGGCTTACCATGCGGCTTCACCGGGGCCGGGTCATTGAAGGGGTCGGCGGCTCGCAAGGCGTCAGCCCTAGGACCCTCCTCTCTGTCGTACTCCAAACGAAACCTCCAACGCTCGCTGTGGGCGCCCTCGGGCTCCAACTCGTCTGTCGCGAGGGTCGCGTCGCAGACTCCGAAGCCGGATGGGCTCGCGTCGGTCACGAAACAGAGGGGGCCCCAGGGGGCACCAATATTCGACGAGCACAGCGGTGACAAACAGCCCAAGACCCAGCGCTCTCGAGCCACGCTCGACCAGAGGCGGCCTCGGGAATTATAATACTTGTGAACAAATCCGCAACTAGAACTCAACGCCGAAAAGGATCTCCCGTCGAGCTAGCAGCTGAGAGGCGACGCGCCCGAGAGGCCGCTCCAACTGCCTTCCAGACACGACCGGGCGACGGGCGAGCGCGATGAGGGCCGCGCGGAGACGCCGCTGCCTCTCGGGGGCCCCACGAAAGTGTCCTCGAGCCCCGTCGAGGCGGAAGCCCAAACTTTGAGCCCGCTGGGCCGCCCCTTCTTCCTCGCGCACTTTGAAGCCTAACTGGCGACAAAGTTCGGCGACGCGCTCCCTGGCACGATTCGCTCTTTCGGGGCAGGTCGCGGCGACGGTGAGATTGTCGCAGTGCGGGAGGGCCAGCACGGAGGAGCCACGAAGAGGAAGGGCGGGGGCACGATCGAGCAGGATGCAACCTGGTGGCAGATCCACTGCACGTCCTACTTCGGTCGAGTGAGCGAGCTGGGCAACGGAAAAACTCCCGCTCCACCCCATGGGCAGCGCGCGGAAAGCCGGGCACCAGGGGCCGCGAGGGCCCCTGGGGTCCAGGAAAACGGGCGGCAAGACGAGGCTTTCGAAACACATGAAATCGGCGGCATCAAAGCTGATATGTATGTATGTATGTATATATATATATATATATAGACCTCCAGGGGGATACCCCCAACAAAAAGAAATAATCCTTTTATATCGAGAGTGAGAGCCAGGCCTGCTTCCCCACACCAATGGCAACGTCCGCCCACGCGGAGCCAGTGCCCATCGGGAGGTGGGGAGCGGGGCGGAAACACCGATTAATTGCCCGACAATCGATCACCAGATGCTGACGGCCATTTTTCTTGCGAACAGCAAAGGCCCCCACCTTACAGGCTGGCCTCGAGGACGCAGGCAAACAAGCCGCCCTCATGCATCTTGGCAAGCAGGTCTTCAAATGCTTGGACCCACCCCGGAGCTTCGGATCATCGGAAGTGAGGGGGTGAGATCGAAGTGGAACGGAGAGCCCCCCTACCGGGAAATCGATTTCGGTTTCGTGTTCGTGCGTGCCGTGCGTGCGGGCGAAGCGAAGCTGCGTGGGCGGGCGAAAGGAAAGTCTCCTGTGGCTGAGGCGCGGCCGGACCAAATGATTCTCCACCTGGCGGCCGGTGGCGCGCGGTGTCCCGCCGGTGTCCCGGTGGTGTCCTCTGTGGCTGAGGCGCGGCCGGACCAAATCATTCACCACCGGGCGGCCGGTGGCGCGCGGTGTCACGCCGGTGTCCCGGTGGTTTCCTCTGTGGCTGAAACGCGGCCGGACCACATGATTCTCCACCGGGCGGCCGGTGGCGCGCGGTGTCCCGCCGGTGTCCCGCTGGTGTCCCGTCGGTGCCCCGTCGGTGTCCCGATGATGATGATGTTGATGATGATGATGATGTTGCTGATGATGATGGTGATGATGATATCGGTGGGGAGACCGAATGTGAGATCGATGGTGATACCGAGTGTGAGATCGATTGTGATATCGATGGTGAAATCGATAGTGAGACCGAAAGTGAGATCGATTGTGAGATCGATTGTGAGATCGATTGTGTGATCGATTGCGATATCGATAATGGGATCGATAGTGATACCGAATGTGAGATCGATAGTGAGATCGATAGTGAGATCGATTGTGAGATCGATTGCGATATCGATAAAGAGATCGATAGTGGGACCGAATGTGAGATCGATAGTGAAATCGATAGTGATATCGATAGTAAGATCGATAGTGAGACCGAATGTGAGATCGATAGTGAGATCGATAGTGATATCGATAGTGAGATCGATAGTGAGACCGAATGTGAGATCGATAATGAAATCGATAGTGAGACCGGTTGTGAGATCGATTGTGAGATCGATTGTGAGATCGATGATGAGATCGATAGTGAGACCGAGTGTGAAATCGACTGTGAGATCGATAGAGAGATCGATAGTGAGATCGATAATGAGACCGAATGTGAGATCGATTGTGAGATCGAAAATGAGATCGATAGTGAGATCGATAGTGAGACCGAATGTGAGACCGATAGTGAAATCGATAGTGAGGCCGAATGGGAGATCGATAGTGAGATCGATAGTGAGACCGAATGTGAGATCGATAGTGAGGTCGATAGTGATATCGAGAGTGAGCTCGATCGAGTGCGACGTTGGCCCCTCCCCCCCTCACCTCCTTATCACCCGAAGGGTGGTCGTATAGGTAATATCCTTTCGCGGGCGCCTATGTCACACGCGGCCCCATCACTCCTCCTGGAATAACAAGATGTGTCGCTCGAAACCTACGAGACATTCACTGGCGCCACTCGGCGACCGACCCGCGAGATCCACGGGATTTGCTCCGGCGCGGGGCATCGATATCAACTCTAAATCGCAGGAGGTGAAGCCAGCGGAAGGAACGTATTCGTAGGGGCGGCCAGACCCGAGAAGCGCCGAGAGGGCTTCCTAGGAACTTGGCGGAACAATATTTGGCTTGAGGGCGCGGGCGTCGTCTTCAAGCCGATTGAGAACTTCTAACTGGCAAGCCGACGCCAGGCGCAGACAAAGCAGAGGGAAACCAGCGAGAGAATTCAGTGCATCAGCCATCTCATTGACACGATTGTAGCACCGATCCCTCTCAGCCAAACGTTGCCGAACCCCTCGGGAGAGACCAACTTGGCGACGTTCCCAGCGCTCCGAACCGAGTCGCGGCAGCGGGGGCAGATCACGTTGAACGAGGCGTCCTCGCTCGTTCTGGGCACGGGGCATTCGCGGCGGGAGTGGGGCCCAACCCCTACTCAGGTGGGGCCTTCATCGCGCCACCCCCGGCGCCGCCGGCACTGGGGTCGTTCGCCTGGCCCCTCCCGTGCCCCTCCTGCAGCCTCTCGGGCCCTCGCGCCAAGCGCATCTCCTCGGCGCGCCCCCGCTGCCCTGCGAGGATAGAGCTCTGCCCGGCAGCGCGGGCCGCCAAGGGGCGGGCGAGGGCTAGCCCCGCCAGCGCACGCCCAGTCGCGGCGCCCCGCCCCGGCAGATCGTCGACGTGGATACAGCCCGCATCGGCGGGGCTGTCTGCGCGGGCGGACTCGGTCTCTTGGGCGCGGCGGATCAACGGCTCGAAACTCCCCCAGCAGCTGACGCCCACCTCATCCCTCTCACCCGCCGTCTGGAACACCTTCAACATGACGGGATGCCCGACTGCGGAGCGACGACCAGCTGGGGCGCCACTCTCGCCCGCCCGCGCGCTGGATCGAGCCGCCGGGCCCAGGCCCGCCGCGCGCGATCTTCAGGAGGTGCCCCTCTGAACCGGCGACGCCCTCGAGCTCGCGGACATTCATGTCGGCGCGCCCCATCGTCAGCCCGGTCTTGCCGAAGGTCCTGAAACGCCTGTCCCCCCGTCGCTTGACAGGCAGCCCGCGGGGCCCAGCCTCGCCCCCGGCAGCGGCGCCTGGCCGGGCCTTCCGCCGCCCCCGCGGGGGCGAGCGCGCCCGCGCGCACCTTCGCCGCGTTGGTGGCGACCGCGAAGTCGCAGAACCTGTCTCCCGAACGAAATCCAGGACGGCCGTCTCTCGGCTCCAGCACGCCGTCAGACTGGGAGGACCACTCCCCCTCCCGCTCTAGCTCCAGGGGCACGTCGCCGTCCCGGTTGGATACCCGCCAAACGGGGGGCCCAGGCTCGGTCGGCCACTCGCCGAGCTGCGGGCCCGTCTCCACCGTCTTCTCCATCGTCGGCAAACGGGCGCGCCCCACTCTCCGCCATCACAGCGCGCCCTCACCTCCGCCCCAGCACGGCGCGCGGCGCCCGGCACAGACGAGACAGCCCGCGCAAGTCCAACCGAGACAGATGCTGGCCAGGAGCCCGAAGGGCAGACCCACGAAGAAGGCGCCCCACTTCAGGAAGCTCGGCCCGAGGGTGTACTCCTCGAGGGCACAGCGGCTCAGACCGCCCGCAGCGCCAGTGAGCACGTCGGACCCGAGGGCACTGCAGGCGACGCGGCCGACGCGGAGGAGGAGCGCGAACATGCAAGGTCGCGCCCGACGTCTGGCTCTTCTAGCGGGAAAAAAACGCGATCCATCACGAGTGCGTGCGGTTCGACTCGGACCAGGGGCTCAGCGGCGATTCGTTCGCTCTGTCACACCTGTGTAAACCGTCAAATATGAATATGTAGGTATACAAACCTTTGAGTCTAACAATCAATATACAATCAACCAACCGATCTATATGTACACACATACATATATATATATGTGTCTATCTGCAAGAATACATATATGTGTGCAAACATATATATACACCTTTCTATAGATCTATGGATCTGTCAACACAGATAAATGATTCTCTCTATATAAGTACATGTGTCTATAAATATACATATATATATATATATATGTATGTATGTCGCCCTGTCTCGCCCTGTCTCTGCATAGATGAATATGTATAATATATATGTATATATATATATCAAATTATCGATCCATCAATCATCGGGACAAGGGTCGGGGCAGGAATCGGAGCAACCATCGGGCAGGTCATCGGGGCAAACATCGGGGCAATATCTAACACTATCTATCTGTCTATCTATCCATCATCGGGACAACCATCGGGGCAAACGTCGGGGCATACGTCGGGGCAACTATCGGGGCAACCACCGGGGCGACCATCGGGGCAACCATCGGGGCAACCATCGGGAAAACCATCAGGACAACCATCGGGACAACGATCGGGGCAACTATCGGGGCAACCATCGGAACAACCGTCGGGGCAACCGCAACCATCGGGGCTACTGCCGGGGCAAACGCCGGGACATACGGGGGGTCGGGGGGCGGCCCGCCCCGGCAATCGATGGCCCCTGCCGTCGATGGATCTCGCGCAGCTTCGCCTCGCCCGCGCGCGCGACGCGAACCGATGCCGAAACCGATTTACCAGTCGGGGTCGCTTCCGCCCCGACCCCCCCGGCCTCCGATTCGTCGTCGCCGGAGAGCAGCGCGCCCCCCGCGAGAGCCCAGGTGCCCCTCAGATTGCGCGCAGTCTCGGACGAGAGGCCGGGCGGGCCCGCAGCTTTAGTTGGCCATGGCCCCGCCATCTCTGACGGCTGGCGCCCGGCGTCGGCGGTCTGATCTGCGCTGCGATCGCCGGCGACGTCGAGCACATTTGCCGCGGCCTTTGCAGCGGCCACCAAAAAGCAGCTCCTCGATGGCAGCGTCGTCGAAGGCTGCGACGTTAATCCAGATGCCCTTTCCCGCGCGTCGTCGGCGGCCCCCGCGCCCTCGCGCGCCCTCTCTTCCGGGCTAATCAGCGTGAGACTGCGACCATGTCGCGCAGGAATCAACGCGCAGCTCCTCCAGCGCCCGCCGCGGCACTGCTGGAGGCATTGGACTTCGCGGGCGTTTTCTGGCTCGGGGGGGAGGTCCACCAGGCCGCCACCCCCAGTCTAGTTTGTCTCGTGAGCGTGCGAGATCGCGTCGCAGTCAGCGTCGAGGTCGCTGCCGCCAGGTGGCGACGCTACTGCCGCCGCTGCAGCAGGCGGCGCGCAAGCAGCGCGCTGGCGGCCCAGGCCCCTCGAGCGCCTTGCGCGCCGCGTGGAGCGTTCGCCCATGGGCCTGCCGCTGGGGCACCAGGTTGAGCTCGCACGTCTGCTTGGGCATCGCCTCGCAGAAGGAGTGTCGCGTCTGTCAGACGCATGTCTCTCCCCCCTGGGCCGCCCGCGACCTGGGCGACGCGACGTTGCCTGGTGCGCGCTCAACGATGCGCCGTCGCCGCCAGATTCTCCAGCAAAAGGT